TCTACGGAATAACAAAAACAAATGACTTAGATTTATTAAATTGCTGGTCAAAGCCGTATCTCCTGCCAGCTCTATAAATGTCAGCTAATTGGTTCTAATGGACTTCCACGTCTCAATAACTGACCCTCGTTGCCTCTCTTCTTACAGCATGTGGACATTGCGGCCCTGCTTATCAAGTACAACACGTGTGTGAATGCTACAGACAAATGGGCGTTCACCCCCCTCCATGAGGCAGCGCAGAAAGGTCGTACTCAGCTCTGTGCGCTGCTGCTGGCTCACGGAGCCGACCCCACCATGAAGAACCAAGAGGGCCAGACTGCTCTGGACCTGGCCACGGTAACGACCTCTCTCATTCAGAAATAAAGAGCTAAGCGGTCCCAAGGCCATTTGTTTTTCAGACTCCAATACGAGTTGGGCAATTCAGTCTGTGCTTTAAACAGTTTGAAAATCATGTTCCCTAGCGTCATGATTGTTTTATTATCCTTTTTTACTGAGGGCTGCAAACATTTGTGAACTAACTTCATCTGCTGGAACTTAAATCAGCCTCCTCTCAACTTGTTTTTCTCCGCCCAACCTGCAGGCTGATGATATCAGGGCCCTGCTCATGGACGCCATGCCACCAGATGCCCTTCCCAGCTGCTTTAAGCCACAGGCCACAGTGGTCAGCGCCTCGGTCATTTCCCCCGCCTCCACGCCGTCCTGTCTGTCAGCCGCAAGTAGCATAGACAACTTGGCAGGACCGCTTACAGAGCTGGCCGCCGCAGCGTCTGCCGGGTCCTCCGGAGTGGCAGATGGAGCCACGGGCACTGAGCGCAAGGAAGGAGAACGTGAGTTTGCTGTCTTTACTACAATGAATGTTGCTTGGATTACAAATTATTAAAGTATTAATTATAAGAATAAACAAGTTCTTTGTGAGGAAACTATGCATTACAGGGGTAACTCTGTTTTAGATTTATTGTTAATACTAACGCTCTGTTCTATTTCTTCTTAGTGGCGATGCTGGACATGAATATAAGTCAGTTCTTGAAGAGCCTGGGCCTGGAGCACCTGAGGGACATCTTTGAGAGGGAGCAGGTCAGCCATCACACATTAAATTACTGTTCATTAAATGTGCAATATGTTGAATTTTATTACAACATTTACATAAAGAATTCTAAATTAAAAATGCACTAAACCTTTGTAAAAAAAAAAATATATATATATATATATATATGTATGTGTGTGTTTGTGCTGAGTACTTCAATTACCTCAAATATTTCCAACAGTTATCAAAGCCAGAGAAATCTGTAATTTAATATTTGTCTTGGCGGCCGCCATGACAGACACTATAGGTTTATCGTTGCCTTGGAAACACTGAATGTTACATCAAAGAGCGCTGCATAAGAAAGCCAAAAATGCTACTGAAAGCTGTGCCTCTAAGTTTGATGAAGTCATGATGCAGAAACCTTGTACTGAATTTAGGATGCTTTAATATGTGTGCACACAGCAACTTTTTGACTTCTCTCATGATATTCTTGTTCTTTGTCTGTTGAGTCAGTGCCGTGTTTAAATATCATGAATAGAGTAAAACTAGAAAACTCTGGTGGGTTTGTAATCATTGAAACAGCTGGATGTTTGAGCAAACAGACAAAATTAGATGTTTCAAGTGGTTGGTATAAGCATTTCAACTTGCTATTTTATTTCATTTTTCCCCCAGATCAGCCTGGACGTGCTGGTTGACATGGGTCACGAGGAGCTGAAGGAGATTGGGATTAATGCTTATGGCCACCGACACAAGCTGATCAAGGGGGTGGAGAGGCTGCTGGGCGGCCAGCAAGGTCAGGGGGCCTGTTTTGTTTACTTATAGGAATCATCAAGCAATAGTACCATGCTGTGCTGTCTGCCACATTTCTCAGACAACTTCAACAGACCTTGAAACATTCAAAATGACTGTGTTCTTGTGATTGCTAACGATACTTTTTGTTTTTCAGGTGCCAACCCCTACCTGACATTCCACTGTGCCAACCAGGGCACCATTCTGATCGACCTCGCCACAGATGATAAGGAGTACCAGTCTGTGGAGGAGGAGGTGAGTCCAGTTCACTCTTTACATTTGTTTTTCTTCAGAAAAGCTGAAAGTAATAATGTCAAATGGAGATCTAATGTTTCAAATCCTAAAAAAAAAAGTATTTTTAGAAAAAAGAAGTTGCATTGTAGAGAAATATGTAAATTTGTGCAGCATACTTTATTCGACCACAGCAGGTGATGAAAGAACATTTTCTACTAGCTAACTAGAGATAATAAAATCATGTTTTTTGCCCCGTGTCCTTTAGTTACAGAGCACCATCAGAGAGCACAGAGACGGAGGAAACGCCGGCGGTGTGTTCAGCAGATACAACATCATCAAGGTCTGACTCAGGAAACTCTGTTCTTGTTCATCTAATTTGTTAATATGCAGAACTAGAACAGCTCATGCACAGACTTAAGCTTTGCTTGATTGTATAAATGACAAGTTAAATCAAAGATTTCAGCGGCTGAACAGTGAATTCTCGGTTTTAAGCATTATTGGAGCTCAACATGATATTTGATAAGCATCTTATTGTGCTCTGCAGATTCAAAAGGTGGTAAATAAGAAGCTGAGGGAACGTTACACCCACCGGCAGAAGGAAATCGCAGACGAGAACCACAACCACCACAACGAGCGGATGTTGTTTCATGGTAACCACACCCTCCTTCACTTCATCTAAAATGTTTTGTGTGTCAGCATCAGGCAGCAGTGGTGTCTCATTTGAGTTTAAGCCTTCTAGAAACAACTCAAAGTCAGGCCTGTGTTTAATTACTGTTAGTAATTTCAATCTGCCACTGTGTTCTTGTGTTCCTTCAGGTTCCCCGTTCATCAACGCCATCATTCACAAAGGCTTCGATGAGCGCCACGCCTACATAGGAGGGATGTTTGGAGCAGGGATCTACTTTGCAGAGAACTCCTCAAAAAGCAATCAGTATGTTTACGGTATCGGTGGAGGCACTGGCTGCCCGACGCACAAAGACAGATCCTGCTACCTGTGCCACAGGTAACTTTAAAACTGCAAGATGTTTTAGCGGTTAAGCTACTTTCCACCTTTTTTCTTTTTAAGGTCGTATGCGGTATTTTCAAGAAAGACACTTACTTATAAGTGACCTTTGTCTTCTCGTCTGCATTCACAGGCAGATGCTGTTCTGCAGAGTCACTCTGGGGAAGTCCTTCCTACAGTTCAGTGCCATGAAGATGGCCCACGCCCCCCCAGGGCACCACTCAGTTATCGGGCGGCCCAGCGTCAACGGCCTGGCCTATGCTGAATATGTTATCTACAGAGGAGAGCAGGTAAACAGGCACTCCAGCATATGAGAAATACTCTCAATCCTGTTTTTAACATTTAAAAAAAGACATTTAACATCAGCCATGTAGTAGTGTGTGCTCATGACTTTCTCTGTTTTTCCATTAGGCCTATCCAGAGTACCTCATCACCTACCAGATCCTTAAACCGGAGAGCGCGGCGCAGTCTTCTGCAGGAGCTGAGCAGAAGTCGTAGTTACTTAACATCACAAACACACACATGGACTCGATGCTCGTTTTTTTTCTCTCCTTTGTAATGCAAATGCCTGAACACCTTTTTATTTACCGAACACATTTCCAGTAGAACCCATGGTTACCAGTGCTGTATAATAATCTCTATTATGGTGGTGACACCTTTTTGTTTTGCATTGGCTGCATGAAAATACAGAAGCATGAGAGGCCCAATAGCGTGCGTGGGTTAGTTCCTTCCCCCTCCCAATCAATCGGGAGGATGCTTGTAGAGACTTTGAAGTATCAGCATTATCAGTTTGTTACTCTTCGTCGCCTCATGCCTTGTGACTGTGCAGAATCACCGACCCCTCACCTCTACACACCCCACACTGTCTCACTGTCGGAGCCTGAATCCTGTGGACTACTACTGCCACACCATATCTGGGTTCATCCTGTACAGAATGGCCTTTGGTTACTGTGATTTCAATGCTAAACTTAAGACACTACCATACAAGTAACAGTGCATTGTTGCTATGCTGTAATGTTAACTTTCATACCACAAACACTACAAACACTGAACTGAATTTGTTTTCTTTGTGGTTTTATTCAGGACTGGGCATGCTCCATTGAAAAAGGTCCATCTGTTACATCACTATTATTCTAACAGTCTGGATTTGTATGAGAGAAGAGATGTGCTTAGTTACGAAGCTGAAATGCAATGTAAGGCATCAGAATTACAAAGACGCACACTCAAGGTGTGGATGTACATTTAAAGCGTTCTATACAGTATATATGACTGCATTAAGACAGTAGAGTCAGTAAATGTTCATAATGTTGAAATGTGCTTGTGATGCCTTACAAGGTAACTCCTGATAGCCAGTGAACTCATCAAGGCACCATTTCTGTCGCCATGGTCTTACTCACAGACATCACACGCTTATGGATTTGCACTTTTACATAGAAACCTATTTAAGTTATTTTGAATTTAAATTGCAAGTTTGCGGGAAAAATATTTGTACAGGTTGTGTAAATGGTTGTGTATAACTGTTGCTGTTTAACAGTATCTTTGAGTTCAACAGTAAATGACATGATCTTTTTCCTTTCATGCCTTCTTGATTCTCCCAACTTTTTTTAATAAATGTCCCATTAACAGCTCTTTGTGGTTTGTTTATTTGAACAATATTAAAACAGGATGTATGTTGGCTGTAAAGTTTGTGTCCACACTGTACACAAAATATTGTCATGCAATCGAAGCACAGCAGTCTTACAGCATATAAGACTAGATGACCTGGCATTCAACAGGGTTTATTTGACATTAAGAAGACTTGGTGCAGAGTTAACCTAATAACACATTAAGTCTTGAGTATGTATACTGTAGTAAAATAGAAACACTTAACTATATAATCATACTGTCACAATATTCACTGATATACAAACCACTCCCCCGAAAGACTACATCAGAGTCGCGCACATTAAACGTCATCATGCTCAGCTGACTGGCTGCAGCTCGCTACTTGAGGGGAAATGTTATTATTGTTCTGTTTTTCTTTAGTCTTGCTCGAGTGAGCTTCGTTACAAGTCGCTGGTTAATCATTTATTTAAAAAAATGTATGAGGCATGTCGAGGGTGAAATTGTAGTAATTGTAGTGTACTTTTAGGAGCAATGCTCGGTCGCAAGCATGCAGTGGAAAACTTTTTCTCTCCTTGCCTCCCTCCTCATCATCACAACCGAGACTTCAGCAACTTCACATGTCATCACAGTGGATGTGGAGAAACCAGTAGGAGACCTTAAACACTTCTGGAGAAGCACTGGTTTCTGGTAGGTCAAAATATGAAATGTTTTAATCTTAGTTTTCAGTCAGAGTTGGTGTCTTATTCAGACTTAGAATCGGTTTTTGTTGCCAAGTAATTTGCATAAAAGGCATTTGACTCGGTGTTTGGTGCAAAACATTTAGTAAACGACTACAGCAAAAAAATAGTGAGAAATTATAAAACAGCAGTGCTCCTGCAATAAGTTGAAAATGTAAAAGCAATGTAAAAACACAAAATGTACAAAAGGTGCAATAGAGGAGCTGTGCAGCTGTGCAGGTATGTGCATGATTTACAGTGAAAATTACTTCTCACAGTGTGCAGCGTAAACAGAAAACATCCAAGTCCAGTGTGCATTAATGTAATGCATTAAATGTAGCCTGTGTGTGTGGGGGGGGGAGAGAGAGGAAGAAACAGTTCTTATGGCATGAGGTTTTGGTCGTCTTACCACAGGGGAGGGTCTTCAACAGTTTTTGCCCGCGGTGAGAGGGGTCAACCACAATGAATAAGGCTTTATAATTTCATACCAAATCTACCATCTCTGCCATTAATACGACTTATTAAATGGTAGTGCATGAAGTGAAGACCTTTGAAAAACTTGTTTCCATTTCAGAAGGCCGTTTTCAGTGTAGTGAAGGCTTCCCTCTCCCATTAAGTCTGCAGACGAGCCGATATATATATTAAGTGCAATTTTGGGTGGCTTGTACAAATGTAAATAATCTTTTCTCTGTTTTTAGTCCTCCACTCCCTCACACTCAGGCCCACCAGTTTGACCTGAGCCTTGACCAGCAGCTGAACCTGGCTTATGTGGGCTCAGTCCCCCATGCAGGGATCCAGCAGGTTAGGATACACTGGATGTTGGAGCTGGTCACTGCACAGTAAGTTAACCAGCAAGTGGAGACCTGTCCGGCCAGTAGTCAGTTAAACTTGTGAAATCAAAACATGCCAACCATTGTAATTTAAGATGTATCTGTTTGAAGATGACGTGTGTGTCTTTTTCTGTTTATGTGTGTCATGATAAATTAAAGATTGTTGATTGTGTTGTTGTAGAGATACTGGAGGACAACCGCAGTACAACTTCACTAAACTGGACCAGCTGATTGAACTCTTGTGGGTCAATGGACTCCAACCAGGTTGTTTATCACAATAATATTACATTTTAGTCAAAACGATTTAGGCACTATTGTACCAAGTGCTGTCATTAAAAACCCAAAGCTGAGGTTTCTGTAGCTTTACTTAAACTAAACTTAAACCATTAGTGTAATATTTAAGGTACAAAAAAATAGCTACTGGTCAAAGGTGATTAAATATCTGACCTACGATTAATTCCTGCACTTTGTATTTTCAGGATTTGAACTGATGGGCAGCGTCTCAAACTATTTCACGGACTTTGAGGACAAATCACAAGTGGTCGAGTGGAGGAATCTGATTTATCTCGTAGCCAAAAGGTATATCGGTGAGTGAATTACAGAGTTTATTGTTTTGGAAAAAGTTTTGTAATACTCCATACCATGTAATAAAGTTGTTTTTTTTTTTTAAACTGAAACTGAAAAGCATTGTACTCGCAAAACAATTAATTTAACTTTTGACAATTTGTAGACAAAGTGAAATGTTATGTGATTTCTGTTCTGTTAAGATGTTTAAATTGTTGGTCCTAACTCACAGATAAGTACGGCCTGGGACGAGTTTCTCAGTGGAACTTTGAAACATGGAATGAGCCAAATAACCATGACTTTGACAATGTCAGTGTCTCAATACAAGGTAAACCCAAAGTGCGTCCTATTTGAAATTTTAATGTTTTATCTCTTTATTTTTAAGTGGAACTAAAGCTACCAAATGTGCCCTTTTTTTTTCTTTTTTTTTTAACAAGGAAAAGCAAATTGAGCTAATATTCTCTCCTACATAAAGCATGTTGTACTTAATATAAAAATGTTTATTCTTAAGATGTATAGTTTGATAAATGCTTTTATGAAACACTGCCCAACCATAAATGGACACATATATTATATTAGGCTGATAATGACTGTTCATAAAGTTGGTTCACTCTCGTTTACGTTTAATAGGATTTGTATATTTAATACCTGAACACACATTCCTAGTTATAGTCAAAGAGTCGCGCTGTCCGTGGTTGCTTTTGTCTTATAAAGTTTAATAAACTTGTCTTTAGGGTTCCTAAACTACTACGATGCCTGTTCGGAGGGTCTGCGTGCTGCCAGCGACCTCCTGAGGTTTGGGGGTCCAGGAGACTCCTGTCACTCTCCCCCTCACTCACCGTACTGCTGGGCCATGCTGCAGCACTGCTACAACGGCACCAACTACTTCACTGGAGAGACGGGGGTCAGGATGGACTACATCGCCCTACACAAAAAGGTGGGCCTTTCTGAACTTGAAGTATATTTACAGCAAACACAGTGAACATCTGGCTCTGTTAAATGAGAAAGTCACAGCTGACGTTCCACCTAAAAAAAGAAAGTGTCTTTATTTTGTTTCTGGATTCAGGGGTGTTCATGTCCAGAAGTCTTTCGGCTGAAATCCCTAAATCTTAGTGATTTCTTATATTATTGTTTCAAAATGTGGATTGTGTTCAAAAAATGTTTTTGTCAGATTCATTTTTGGAAAATGTTTTTTATCTATAGGGGGGAACAGTCTAATTGAATGATCTATTTGTGTGCACCCTGTGATGATGAAAGTGATGTTACTGAAACCGCAAAACTCTTTGAAAACTATAGTACAATATCTTGAATATCTATACGTTTTTGTAAAACTGCTGCGATCAGAACCCCTCTCTTTCCAAGCTGACTTTCTTTTTCTTCCATGCAGGGAGGAGGTTACTCCTTGCCCATCCTCCAGCAGGAGGTGCAGACGGTGAAGGAGATCCAGGAGCGTTTCCCTCGGTTCCGCAGCCTCCCTGTTTACAACGATGAGGCGGATCCGCTGGTGGGCTGGTCCAGGCCTCAGGAGTGGAGAGCTGACATGACCTATGCTGCAATGGTGGCGAAGGTGAAGTAAAGCGATGGAGTAAAGCCACTGAATGATACTTTTTTTTACCATATATGTATTTAAAATGTAAATAGCAGAAGTTGGGACTAAAATTGTACATTTCATTGGTAGACATGTTATGTAGTTGTAGAAAATGCACACCAAACCCTCACAGGTTCAGTTAATTCATGAACAATTTCATTTAGAAAATCCTCCATCCTGCTTCTTCCAACAGGTAATTCACCAACACCAGGACCTGCTGGTGTCAGACCCCAACAGCACAATCAACTACACCCTGCTGAGCAACGACAATGCCTTCCTCAGCTACCACCCGCACCAATTCACCCAGCGCACATTGACCGCCCGCTTCCAGGTCAACAACACCCACCCACCTCACGTGCAGCTGATCAGGAAGCCAGTCCTCACCATCATGGGCCTGCTGGCTTTGCTAGGTGACAATATTTTTTAACTCCAGAGCATAGGTTTTATATTTTTAACTCTGAGGAAATGTCTTAACGAGTCATGATCTTTTCAATAATATGTATGCGTCCGTGTATGTACAAGCAAAGTATCCAGGATGTGTCTTGTTTAATGGACTCCCCTGATTTTGTTTCCACTTGAAGGAGAGACTCAGGTTCTGGCTCAGGTTTTGAGCTCGCCAGGAAACAAAAACAGCACTGTTGGAGTTTTGGCCAGCAGCCACAAGCCTGTAATACCTGGAGGCTCAGACAGCTGGCAGGCAGCAGTGCTGGTGTACAACAGTGATGACAACAGCTCCTCCGCCAACACTGATGATGTCACTGTGTCACTGAGAGGACTGGCTGCACAAACAGGTAGAAACCCCGTACCCTGTTGTTATTTTAGAAACAAAAAAAGCTACTGTTGAATGCTGTCATCATGTCCAACAGGTCCTTACTTTCAGTCTGTTTGTTATCCAGGTCTTGCGTATGTCACATATTATATGGACAACAATGTAACCAACCCGTACCATCTGTGGCAGAGCATGGGCAGCCCCGACTTCCCCACAGCACAACAGTTCAGAAGTCTCAGGAGCGTTCAGGTAAACAGCAGGGCCGGGCCATATTGGCAAAAGTAACATTATGTTTGTTTGTTTTGCAATATGCATTGTGATTTTTCTTTCCAAATGTTGGTTAAAGATATTCAGGGGGGCTCTGTTTTTGCATTTGAAAAAAGGCTGCACTTGTTACATAAAATATTTAAAATAGTGTCTTCCATTTATTTATGAATTTAGATCATTCAATAAACAACTCTCTGGGATTTGTTTCTTCTTTTTTTAAATATTAAGAATAATTGTGATTGGTCTTTTGACTTTTAGTTTGAGTGGAAAAATTGAGGCCAAAAGTCTACTTGAATTTGTCCTTCAACCGGTTTTATGTCAGATAAACCATGTTGTTCCCCTTTAAGAGCAGTAATTGAAATGTTGGGTCTCATCTACTTAACAACATGAAACATCCTGTGGTCAGTGATGATCGTTTTCCGCCCTAAAATATAAACGATAAAAACAATGCTATCTGTATCTTTTGAAAGTTGCTTGGAAGAATGTCTTAGTGTTCATATCTGGTGACAGAAATGTATACTGAACATGCACTGTGTTCAGAGACGATGTGTATTCATCATGTTCAGTGTATTTTTTTAGTAAACGTTAAATTCTGCTTCATGACCTGTTTCATTTTTAGACATGCATTGATCTCATTAAGTGTCATTGTTTCAGGACCCTCTTGTTGATGGACCGTGGGAACTTCCTTCAGGGGACACTCTGACTCTGAAAGCCAAACTGTCTGTGCCTTCAGTCCTTCTCATCCACATTTGTGCCCAGCCCAAAACCCCACCAAACCAGGTCAGACCTAACATTCAACACCTGGGTCCCTGTTTGTTACGTTTGCATGTTTGTGTCCATACAAGCAAGACACTGTTTCTCCAGTTACTGAGCTTTAAAATGTGAGAAAGGGAATACTGACTGAATGAATGTAACTCAAAGTCTGTGTTGGATTGAGAAAGCTTGATGGATGTCAGTTAAACACAGCCAACAGAAAAAGAGCTGAATGAGACTTGACTGCATGTTACAAAAGCGATTATCCTGAGGTCTCCTCTGTTTTTAACTTTCGATAAGGTGAATGGATTACGCTTCATCAGGATCACCAAAGGCCAAGTCCTGATCGCCTGGTCAGACCACTGTGTCGATTCAAAGTAGGTGCTCAATGTTGTTTCTGTCTATTGTTTTCCTTTGTCTCTGTAAGAGCTCGTAGAGGAGGCACAGTTAAATGAGTTTCCTCCTTATATTCAGTGTAGCTGTGTGGTAGGGTCCTCAGATTGAGTGCAGCCGCCCTCTGTGTGTCTTTGTTGAAATGCAGTTACTATGTCATATGCATGGACCAAGACCAAGAAAGAACTAATTCATGCATTTTCCTTTCTTTATTTTCAGATGCATTAAGACATTTGAAGTAGAATTCTCCACGGATCAAAAAGAGTTCCACAGAATAAACACTCAAGACACTATTTTCACCTCTTGTGTTTATTCACCTGGTAAGAGTTATGAGTAAAAAAAAATGTTTTGGCATTCAGCATGAAGAAATACATCCAGCCTTTAAAGCATGTTTTGGCATCCAGCCACAGAAATAATACTGTTCACCCTGTTGTGCGTCTGCAGTGGATCAGGAGGTTGGAGGTCTGTACAGAGTCCGAGCTGTAGACTACTGGGGGAGACCGGGGCCATACTCACTGCCAGAGAAGTATTCAGAGGAGCTCTAGACCAAGGCCAGGACGTGCACTATATCATTTAACATCAAGTTTCAAACGGTTTTGTACACTGTAAATACATTTGATAACCATAAATGTGCTGTTGGTGATGTTTTATACAGTCTATTGTGAAAATTTAAGTTCTTGTTCATCTCCTCAATCAGAATACTTAATTTTTTAACATGCACTTTATGGTCACTAATTAGGGCATCACATTTTTTTGTATAAAATCACAGTTATTTCAACAAGATTGAGATAAAAGTTACTTAAAACAGTTATCATCAGCCCAAGCACTTTCATTTCTGAACTGATTTATTCATTTGTCAAGACAAGAAGTGCTAGTTATAACTTTATGAACTTAAGGACTGCAGCTTCTTTTTCTGGATTTCTTTCTGGGACTCTTTATCCTGTTATTATAGAGACAGGAAAGTGGATAGAGTCTGAATGTAGAGAGAGAGAGTGGGGAATGACACATTGGGAAAGGAGCCACAGGTCAGATCTTAATCAGGCCCCTTTGAGGACAACAGCCTCTGTACATGTGGCCCCACACGGTGGTCGGCTTCGAGCAAACAGTAAAATGTAATTAAAGTCGTAGGATAAAAAATATAAACTTAGGACGATATTTAATATTTTTGTAACAAATTCCAAAAACTCTCAACCCACAGCTTTGACTCTTCTTACTCTGTCTGTGGCACTCAGCCCAAAAACCAAAGTCTTCTACCAATTTGATGTAAACATGTCACAACTACATATATTCTTTTTTTTAAAGGGCTGAATACATTCATTAGACAGCTGGGTAAGGTAGCGTTTAGCAATCTTTTCTAAAATATCAGTAGGGACTGTTTTCAGCGATGTATGATTACATCTTTGATATGTGTGATTTAGGTTTAGATTATTGAGGCACAGATGACCATGATGATATTAAGAAAACAGTCATGCTATGCATATATTTTAGACAAAAAGCAGTGTTAAAATGAGATGTTACTGCTCATGCCACTTAAACTGTAAAACATTTTTAAATTTTATTGCTATGAAGGAACAAAGTAAAGTACACTCTGCAGGGTTCCAATATTCCAGAAAAACATGTTTCACCAGGGTAGTGACCTTTTGATTGTTATGAAAGAACTAACTCAAGGTCACCTGTTGATAAGGTCATTCATTAAATGATCACACTGTAACAGAAACCGTTACAATCAGAACAATTATCTGATGGATACATTCACTGCAAATCTGTATTCTAAATGTGTTGAATTTTTAAAACTCTTTAATACTGTATGAAATGACTATGATTTTATATGATTGTTTGAGCATGAGATAAGTAAACTTTCATCACCAGTCTAAGTATCATGCACATTAAAAAATAAATAAATACAAGCACAACAACAAATTTCTTTATAAAATTTTATTGTCACCAATACAGAATAAACTTCCAGTGCAGATGTTTCCAATCAGTGTGACATAAGAAGTATCGTACGGTTGATGATATCATCACATTCACTCAACCCGTAGTGATTTTGATTTGATTTGGCTTGGGCGCATAATTTCATTTAGGCAGTGTTCAGTTAATTTTCTTTTTGGGTCTTGAATTGGATTCATCCGATTATCCTCTCCTATTATTTTGGACAAAACTTCTCAGGATTGTTCTACCATTTGCGATTTTTAAAAAGTGCTCTATCTTCGGCGTGGGCAGAAGGATGAATCCTGTATGATGAAGGGCTGCTCAACTATCTCCAGCTCAGGTACAGTTTAGCATGCTCCTGTAAAGAGTGGAGAGAAGAGTGACATTAGATAACATTCAGAGCTTGAAACGTAAATATTCCCTCTAAAATAAGTAAATTAGCTTTTTTGTATTTTTAATAGTGTACAGAACTTGTTCAGTGAGGACAGTTTTTGAGCTTTAATATTTTAGGTACTACGAGGTCTATAATCCTACACGTCCATTTATTGCAAGAGGCTGTTAACTGTCCAACTAAATCTTTCAAATTGGAAGTCATTTACTTTCTTGTTCTTTTACTGGTGGTCCGTCTGTTAAGCTGAATGTGACAAGCCAGAGTACATACCTGACTGCAGCACGGGCTGGAACTCTCCAGCCATGCAGATCTCCTCCTGTTTTTGGCGGACGACTCTCTGGATGGTAGGGGGGAGGCCACGGGGGCTGCGGGCAAAGACCAGGGAATATCCATCCTCGCAGCTTCCATCATCCTTCAGCTTGCGGCAGGCGTAGGTGATTGCGTAGTTGTCATAGTCTGTGTCGATCACCCAGTAGTTGTCACCTGGAATAGCAGAGAGCAAGAATCTTAGTCAGAAATGTGTGAGAGCGAATGAGTGGATGTGGTAGGTTAAAATCTGAGGAGGCTCACCGCCGCTGGACAGATAGCTGGCCAGTCCCTGGTAGTTCATGAACATCTTTCCGGGGCTGCCGGGGTCAGGGACTGAGTACTGAGCTGCCATGTCAGCACACACAACCCAGAACCTAAATGTGAAGTAAAGGGTAAAATAATGTCACATTTGATGGAAGGAATGAAAACCTTTAACTTCTTGAAACATTAAAAATAACTAACTGCTACTAATTAGATTTGTAAAAATACCAAACACCCACCCAAAGAGAGTGACTCTGCCCCTGGAGGAGGCAACCATGGCACCATCGTCTCCAATAGTGTATTCAGCTGAGATGTTGTCCTGCAGGAACAAACCCTCAGGATCCTTCTTCTGCAGAGCGTACCACTTTCCTTCATACTGTGGAGCAAAAATAAATATGATTATGTTTCTTGAGCATTAATGAGATACTGTATTTTGTGTGTGTGTCCTGTGTGCGTATGGTGCACAACAGAATCCGATTTTAGCTTCTAAATTTCTCATACCTCAGGATTGTTGTGCATAGACTAAAATATGTCATTATATGCAGACGATGTACTAGTTTATTTGGAAGACGTCAATAATTCTAACTCTATTTACCATGCTCATTTTAGAAGAATTATATAATTAAAGTTTTCATTGGTAGTCACTTTTCGAATCCTTCCATGTTGTTTATTTCAGAACAAACATTTCTGTACTCACTCTTTTGGGGTCGAAGTCCTCTTTGACCATGAAGCTGTCAACCACGCAGGAGGCCAGGCCCTGCTCCACACAGGCCAGGATCAGCATCACCAGGGTAAACATTTGGAAGTCCATCCTAGAGAAGAACCCAAATGAAGAACATGTCAAATTGCATGGTAGGGTGTTTTTTTTCTCCCTTAAGTAAAAACAGTCACACTTGCGCCTTCATATTGAGTTGGATCCCAAAAAGCAGCATCTTCTTACCTGTAGTGTAGAGTGAATCCTCCGTGACAAACAATGAATCCTTCAGTGCAGAGCTGTCGCAGTGTCTGAGCTGTGCTGAAACAACAGCAGATGGGCCTTTTATACCCAAGGCACAGACAAGCTCACTGATTATTTTCACTTCTTGAACCTAAATGCAGAGTTTAAATCTACCGCTAATCCAGTTTACAAAATCCTCTGCTGTAAGCTGATGAGCCCTCGCAGTCAGCAGTGTATAGGGTTTATGTAATTGTTTGCAGAGGATACATAACAACAGACAGTCCAGGTGGGCAAAGCTGGCCTGAGCCTCAAGTCACACGCCCATGGCGTAAGTGTGTTTACATCAGCATGTAGGTGTATTTCAGGCTTTAAGGCTTCATGAAGACCTCCAATGTGCATTCAGTGATTATTTTAGTTTAGTTTTACCTCCTGAGAGATTAAATGAAAGATGAAATGTTGATAAATTTGGCTGCTTTCTTTTTATTTTTATATTTGTCCATCTTCACATTGATGTTTCCAACTTTTGTATTGGGATGTTGTTTTTAGTCCAGACATGTTCATGGCTCAGCAGTGAAGTTTATTATCTTCTGTTTTTACACATTCACAACTGACCCTGATCCCTAGGGACAAAATAAACAGTTCATTGATTATTTTGAATTAAAATTCAACGTCCAGCTCTGTTTACATTGAATGCAATCTAAGTTAATAGGAATTTATAGTTGATTGTTGTAGACAAAACTTTTTATGTAGTTTGGAAACATTTAAAGATTCACAAAGTTCAAGGATAAATGATGAATGACATTAAGGCGCATGACAAGTGGAAAAATCTTCAGATTTAATATCTAACAGTCTGTAGAGTAAGCAATTGAACAATGACGCTGTATCACGTAATGTCAGCAAAGGTTCAGATGTTCAGTTCTGTCGTCCCACGCACCGTTAAGTAATGATAAGTCATATGGTGTTGAATGCAGCTGAAGCTTCAGCCTGTAATCCCAGAAAAACGTGTCATATAGGAAACAGTTGAGAAGTGCTATTGGAAGTGGACACCTGAGTTAACATGTAAGAAGCCCAAGTGAAACACCTTCTTATCTACATATCAAACAGTGTTTTCCAACAACAACAACAACAACAACAACAACAACAACAACAACAACAGCAAAGAAAATGAGGGGGAAAGTTCCTGCCTCAGGTTTGTTAATTTGTTTTATTTTTTTCTCACAAATGTCTTCAGTCAGTTTTCTCTTAATTCTATTAAGTGATTTTTAGCTGTGTGTATACTTTAATTTTTCTGTTATTGCATTATACTTTTGATTCCTGATTGTTTTTCCCATTGTTTTTAATTTCTTATCCATCATGTTCTATGCTCATGTTTTAAATTTCACCCTATTTTGTTAAACTTCAAAATTGTAAAAAATAAAAACCTTGTAAGCAGATCACAGTAATCCCAGTTATCCTTTGTGATTCTCACCAGTCCTGAGAGGAGATATTTTTGTAAAGCACAGTCAATGAGAGAGCTAAGTAAAGGCAAGTAACATGCCAGTAAGTCGGGGTGTATTATTAGGCAGCCCTGGCATTGTTGTTGTTCTAATATTACCCTGTCCTGAGATTATTAGGTAAGACGTCTGTGCTTCTATGTCCGGGGTGCATCAACACAAAACTATCAACCTGACACGTTAACAGCACTGCCTTTGCATCTCTAATCTGAAAACAAAAGCTCTCTTTAAATGATCCTGTTGGAGACACAAAGTTACTTAACTGGAGGTAAGCTCAAGCTGAACACGTCTGGACTGCAGCCATGTTGGGTCATGAACTTTGAGAAAGCATCAGGTGATTGTCAAAGAGGGAGTAACAATCCTGATTTTATGTAATAGATTTACATATCCCTGATATTTTTTTCTTTATTGCAGCATCTCCAAAAGATTTGAACGTTTAGTCTTTCTCAATCTTGATAGAATCTTGTTAACAAAACTGTAAGCAAGGCCATGGGGAGCAACACATAACCCTTAAGTAAAGTCAGGGCAGGATTTTAGGATTATGTCAGAGGTTTTTGTTGATTTACATCTGAGATTATTTTAACAGAAACTCTCAGATCAATTCCCATACAATATGTTTTATCAGACAATATTGGGAATCAATTTATTTAACAACTTAGCTAGAGCTCAACAATAAGTCCAATTTTTGATTAAGTTATAGAAAGGGGAACTTGAATGGATGATCAACCAAAATCATTATCAAAATAAAAAAATGGTGTCCCACAAGGGTCCATACTGGGACCTGTTTTATTTTGTTAACACATGGTTTCATTTTTATGCTAATTATTCGATTTTAAGTGTCTACCTTACTAAGTGCAATTGATTGATAACCTAGACGCAGTTTGCAATGTTGTCCAGAGAAATCATTTGAGGTTATCAAATGTGTACTGACAAATAGTTGTTTTTTAATTTTCATTATATCAAGTGTCTTGATAAAAGACTGAAGGTGTATTTTAACAGACAAATGCTGTTTTTCTTTTGTTGCAAAGAAAAAACTCAATCAAGCAAGGTTTATATTAGTTATTGACTACAGTGATATCCTTTTATGCATGCTACCTTTTCACCACTGAAAATTAGACAAATGGAATTTGTCTCCAGTTTGGGTTTCCACACAAACCATTTTGTCTATATGAGAGTTGTTTTGTCTTTCTTATACAACAGCAGGTCGGTATATTTGTACATCTTTCTTTAGAAGGCCATACTGCATAATCTGCCTCTGTATTTGTGCTCTCTACTGACTCCTTAAACTGTCAGTAGCTGTAACCTTTGGTATCATGGACTCATCATGCATGTCTTTGGTGCAGGTGCTTCAAATGTATATGCACCCTCATCTTGGCGAGAGCAACAGGGTCACCTTAAGTTAGAGCATATTATTGGCTTGGAAGATTTTAAAACCAGATTAAGGATCATTTGACCGATGTGTGCACGTCTTACTGCGGAAAGTTGCTTACTTTTGATTGATGTAATTTGGGTTTGTTAAGGTCGGTTAATTCTTTGTGTGGAAGTTCACGCTGCAGTCATTTCCAGGACTTCCTTGTAAAAGAGATTTTGATTCCATGGGAATATTCCTGGTAAAAATAAAGGTTCAATGTAATCAAAGTAACACTTTTCCTAACTTCTCAGTTAGAGAAATATGCTGGCTTTTTTTGTCTTTTGTGAAATAATTCAGGTCTCTTTGGGCTTTGGACAGTTTGTCTTACAACAATCTATACAATATAATTTCTATTGCCTACATTGAATTGTAATGGGAAGTTTTATACCCTTATAGTCTATCAAGAAAATAAAGGCAGGTAAACTGCAAACATTGATTGGGCCCTTTACCCATCTTTGTCATATCTACATTGTGTTTCTACAGCAAATAAAGAATTAATTGTAATGTTTCTAATGCTAAGTTTTCACATGATTAAAGAACAAAATGAAAGATAGTTGGCAACCGTCTGACAGAATCCATTTAGAAAGCCTCCACACAACATGATGACCGAAGAAAACAAAATTCTTGATAGCAAAATGAATAGTTAATGTTTTAATATAATATTTTATTTCATAACTGGCTGTAAGAGAATCTGAAGGAGAACAGAGGGCAAAAGGTCACATTGTGATGAACAAAGACAGAGACTACAGTGTTCATACGCATCAAGTACTTCTGTATTTAAGGAATTGCTTCACTACAAACATGAACTTAATAATATACGAGTGCAGATGCTTTCGCAGAATTACAATGCTGGGTTCAAGAGCCATATTTCTTATTGTGTAAGTAACTTAAAGTCACGTATGATGTATCAAAGTATGATCCAAAGAGGTGTTGTTTTGATCAAGGTAACAGTGAAGGCGTCCACAACACGGGAGTGTTTGACTGGTTGTGATATGACTTTTTGTTGTTGTCCAGGAAAGGGAGGGAGAGGTCTGGAATTGCACATGGAAATCCTCACACAACACGCCAGCTCTACTTCAGAATGGTGTCTTCATTTGCTGTGAGGAAACAGTCAAAATATTAATTAAGAATGTTATACTGGAAGAAAAACACAATCTCTAATTAAAGAAAACTGGCTGATTGGGTATGTTTCCTTTTTCAACAGTTTTGCTTCATCTAGTTTTGCCACTACAGTGACTAATCGCTGTCAGCTGTGGAGCCTGCAGATGAGAGGGTGTTTATGAGCTGAAGCTAAATCTTTTAACTTTGCTGCCAAGGCTACCTTCTGCTAGCTGCTTGGCAATGCGCTCCTGCTCCTCACGAGTCTTTTTCTCCTCCTCCTCAATCTTCCTCTCCTCTGCTGCAATGGGCTGCAGGTGATCTGAGCAGTTGATGGTTTTATGAAAAAAAAAAAAAAGACATGATCATTAAGAAAAATACACATCACCCAATACTTTCTCATTCAGTACTCCAAAACAAATTTAGTAACATTTTCTTTCTATTCTTCAAAAACATGAAGTTAAGATGCATCAAGAGAGATTTCTACACATATACTGGAGGAGCGTGAATCCCACATGTCAAACCATCTCCCTTGAGTAAGATGCTTAAAAAATATATCTCCTATTAGGACTTCATTACTTTTATATTGAGTGCATGACAGTGGGTTTATCAAAGTATAGTACACTGTGCATGACGACTTGTAAGAACTCACCATATCTCCTTTTGCCATAGATGATGCCAGCAATCAAGGCTGAATACCTTGCTGTCTGTAAAGGAGAAAAAAAGATGCAGATTAATTAATGTCTTGCAGTCACTAAAAAGTCTTTGCACATTCTCAATCATACCGATGAGAGGATATATAATGTTATTGATGCAAATACAACCAGGTGAGTGACTTTGAGCTTGAGGACATTTTGCCACGAAGTTAAAGAAGCTACAGAATAGTCAAGAGTCTTGTATTCATAAGTTCTTGACACAAGTACACTACACATTGCTTTTTTAAATGTTTTTGAACTGAACTTCACAGGGCAGTGATTCCCAAGGTGGGACAGGAGGTCATGACGGGGCCCCTTGGCAAGGCTAAATAAAAACAATGAACAGCATGACTAAATTTTGTGTGAGGACTTCC